ATACAACCACCATTGTTAATTCCCTACCACTTTGTTTGTAACTCTGTATTGTCTGTATTGTGCTTGTGATATGTTGTAAAATGTGGTATGTCTGTTAATGTTTCCCTCCTTTTATCTTTAAAATAAAAAAAAAGAAAATTATGTCAAATAATATATACACATATGTGTATATATCTGTATTCCAAGTTATCACAGGCAGGACATCTAATCCAAAAAGAAATAAAAAGGTTCAAAAAGAAAACAATCAGAATTCAGATGACACCAAATCATCATCAAGGTCTCTGAGGATATTGTCCCCCTTGCTACATGTATTCTTACATTGTTAATTACACTGCCACCAATTTGTTAGCTAAACAAGGAGTCACCAAGGAATATTTGTTGTTTGTGCAGATGTTCCTTGTGCACTGGTGACGACATAAAACAAATGCTCCTATAACAAATTGCAGGAAAGCCTACCTCCCTGTCCAAACAAGATCAGATGTGCTCCTCTGACCAAACTATAAGCAAATTTTCCTTTTTCACTACACCACTTTTCTTCTTTTGAACTAATGAGATAATTGGTAAATCTAGTGTAAGGTGTCATTTTAGTTATGGTAAAGGAAAAAGAGATGCAACTGATCTTATAGCCAAAGCAATGAAAAATCTAGGCAACAATTGCCTGGTGTCAGACTTGCCTGTAAGTGTATGTGTATATGTACATGTGTGCCTGTGGGTAAGGCTTGCGCTTCTATGGAGGCTGAGGCTGGGGCTTGAGACAGGTGAAATATAATAGTAGGAACAGATTTCCTCGGACCTCACCAGCTCGTACTTCTCAAATTGTGGTTCTCCCAAGGACTTCTAATGAGCTGTTAAAAAGTAGGTATTTTTGTCAAAAAGTAATTGTTATAACGCATTTTCCATAGCCTCTAAATGCAGGCAGGCTTAAAATTTTTAAATCTGGGATCCTGTCCATTACAACCAGTACTTCAGAAATGGGTCTAAAACTAATTTCTAATAAATGTTTACACTGAAGGTACATAAAATTATAATTTCTCTTCAATAATCACTTTAACCTTTATCTTAACTGTAACTGTCAATTAAAGATATGGCTGATACTTAATAGAATTATGAAAGACTATTGATAAGACTTCTCTACCCAATAATATCCACTAGTATTATAGAAATCAAATAATGATAATGATATAAGCATTGGAAATGGTGTTATAAGAAACTTCACCTTGTTGTCAATCAGTAATCTTTCTTTTCCAATTTTAAGGACATACAGAATTTAAACTCTTCTTGAACCTAAGCCATCCATTCCATGGGCAGCCTCTACCCCAAATGAAGAATGAATCAGCTTTGTCCCCAACAGGAAATCAAAAGGTCTGAAATATATTTTAAAATTCACTGAATAAGGAGTTTATGCAGTCTATATATCTATCAACAGATGAATGAATAAAGAAAACATGGTATTTATACATAATGAAGTACTACTCTATTATACAGAAAGACAAACATGAGTCATTTGTACAAAAATGGATGCACCTTGAATCCATAAAGTAAACTAAAGCAGACACACAGGTTAAAATAATATATGGTTTCTCTTATATGAAAAGTCCATAGTATAAATAAACTAAAGAGCAAACCAAAAGACAGTAAGATAGAGGGAGATAGATCTTTTGCAAATTGGAAAAGGACCAACAGATGGAGTTAGGGTGAGAGAACATAAAAAGAATTAAAATGCATAATGTACATGTACCAACTACCCCTAGTAAATGTATCCATCATATACTAATAAAAAAGAAGAAAAAAGTCTATAAAGAAAAAACTGAGTCTTACTCATAACCACCAAAATGACTGATGGTAGGTAGTTTTGCATAGGTTATGTCACCAAGGACTGTGAGCAGTAACTGAATGCACTATTTATGGGAGGAAGATGGCAAAGTTTATTATATGTTTAATAAAATTGTTTCAAATTTCAATTAGCCCAAAATCAAAAAATAAATAATGCTCAGGCTCCCAGGAAAATTCCTCAATGTAGCATGGACTATTTGCGTTGCTGGTAGATAAAAGTCAAAATGAGATAATGTTACATCGAAATGATCTGCCACCAGGCTTAACAGCATTGTTACTAGCGTTTATTTAAGAAACTTCGTAAGTTAAAACACAAAGTTTCTGAACTCTATCAGGTTGTTATGTTAGACACTTTAAACACTAAATTAATAAGCATTCAAGTGCTATTACGTGTAAGTTCACCAGTCTATCCTAATGATATAATGTAAAGAATAAGAGTTCTGATAAGAGAAGGGGATAGTTTTATAACCTACAAATATCTTAAGAGAAGAGCAGCTGAAGTGAGAATATAAAAGACTGTTACAAGACTTAAAACATTCTACAGTGGAAGATGAAAGGAAGGAAAGAGGGAAGGAGGGAAATCAAAACTGCAGAAATGAATCTGACCTATCACTGTGTTTGGTCAGTCAGTCTTCCCTTGGCAAATACATGGCAAGATGCCATCCTTCCAGTGAATTTTTCTCCCATGAGCCGCAGAGGGGTTTACCTGGTTCCAAAAATCCTATTTGTGCACCCTGAGCAGTACGCCTTGCTAACTGAGCTTTTAGTAGCAGTTTATACTTCCAATTATAGTAGAAGGAAAAGCACTAAGGGCATTTTAAGGAAAAGCTACTAGTATCACTAAGAACATGTGTCTGAAAACAAACATGGAATAGTTATTGCCTCAAATCCAAAGTTAAATTTTCACTGTTCTCTTGTATTACTGTGTCACCAAAAATTCCACTAAGTGAATATTATCTGCCACTGTTGTCCTAAAAGCTCCTTTAGGGTATGACTTGTTCATACCTGGATCTGTTCTCTGATATTATGTTCTGTAAATAATAGATGGTCATTAAACATTTATTTGAGGGGGCTGGGGATTTAGCTCAGTGGCACAGCACTTGCCTGGTAAGCGTGACATCATGAGTTCGATTCCCGGTACTGGAAAAAAATCAAAAAAAAGAAAAATATATATATATTTATTTGAATGGATGGATGAATGAAGGAATGTTGACCCTTTAGTTCAACAGTAAGAAAGAAGAGATACCTATAGTATCTTTGATTCTCAATTGGATGCACACATGTTGAATACAATGGGAATAGTTTTTTTTTTAATGCATAAGACACTAGTTTTTTCACTTATATAGAAGTTTGCAGGGTTTTTCTATAAAACCTTGGATTATACCTAAAATTGTCCTTTTAACAGTTAATTTCTGCTAGTAACACAAATACATATTATGAAGGAAAAGACTGTTATTAACTGCTGACATTCTTGTGAGAATTAATTATAGCTTATTTTACAAGGTGGAGATCTGAGAGCAGCCAGATAGAAATTTAATGAGGGTTCTGTTTTGACCCAAAGAAAAGGAGAATTCCTTGAGCCTGTATCTGAGTCCTGAAAAAAATACAAATTTGAATACCAAGAGGCTTGAGACTACTGGGAAGTGCTGGGATGGGCAACAATAAAAGCCAAAGGGAAAGGTAGGGTTCCTTGTAACTTCCAAACCTGCTTTGTATTGGGTCCCTTTGATCCTAGATGTTACTTGAACAAGTTACATGCATCAAAAACCTATGAAACCTAGCAGAAGGATTAAGGAAATTGTTGGTAAATCAGTGGAGAGAGTGATTTGAGGAGAGAAGCAACAGAAATTATTCCAAGAAGTCGGGGACAGGCTCTGAAGACTGAGTGCTGCTGACAGCGCAGGGTTGATCAGACTGGAAAATAAACACCTCATTCCTCCTGGGCTCTGTCCTTCACCCAAAGCCTCACAATAGGACTAATTAAGCTTATGCTCAGCTTCAGAAGAGATGTTTCTTTACCTGACTTCAGAGGGTTCAAGAAATCCTCTGCCCCACCTGTCCTAAAACTAGCTTAGAAATCCTTTCCATTGACCAGGTGTGATGGCACATGCCTGTAATCCCAACACTCAGAAGGTTGATACAGGATTGCTCTAAGTTCCAGGCCCACCTGGGCTAAAGTGAGTTCAAGGTCAGCCTGAACTACATAGTAAAACCCTGCCTTATTAAAGAAAAAGAAAGAAATCCATTCACCAAATGCAGGAATACTAATAAAGATAAAAATAATGATAATAATAATAAAAATAATAATAAAAATAAAAATAAATCCATTCACAAAATGCAGGAATAAATTTCCATTCACCAAATGCAGGAATAACAAAACAAAGATACACCTTTGTATTTTAAACTTTTCACCTCCTTATTTAGAGAAAATTTGTCACTCAAAGAGTAAAACTAACACTTTAAGAGGAATATGCTACTGTTAAAATTCATCATGAATTCATCAGCATAAAATCCTCATTGACAGATATTTCTTAATTCTTAAAATGGAGCATTCAGTGGGGTGGGAAAACCAAAGAGAGATGAAATGAAAAGAACTTCCAAAATGCCATAATTTCCTGTAGGATAAAGAGAATTAAAATTTGCACCTCCAAGAAGTACTGTTGAGAAAATGCATACTGGACATATGATTTATGTCTTGTTTGGTTTCTGGCATCTTTATAAATATGACTTCTACTCAGAAAACTATAAGCATAAGATCCATGTTAGGTGTTTCCTACAGTTGCCTCCTAGTAAGACGTCAACAGCATCTATGTTAACAATTTGATTATCAAGTAAATATGATTAAGCGTGCATGACCTGGCTAGCCAGGATGTCTCCAGTCAGGTTCCAGTGCCAGCTCCTCACGACATTCTTCTCTTCAGGTCCAATCCCTTGTGACTTGGCACAAGGTAGTGATGAGAAATCATTTGGCAGTAACAACATTCATCCTGCTGGGACTGACAGATGATCCCAAACTACAAATTCTAATTTTTGTACTGTTTTTTCTCACCCACATGCTGAGTGTGGCTGGGAACCTCACCATTATTACCCTCACACTTTTGGATTCCCATCTTAAAACTCCGATGTATTTTTTTCTCCGCAATTTCTCCTTCTTGGAAGTCTCATTTACCACTGTCTGTATTCCCAGATTCCTGTACACTACGGCAAGTGGAGATAAAACTGATAGTTATAATGCTTGCACCACCCAATTATTTTTTGTTGTCTTCTTTGGAGCGACAGAATTTTTTCTCCTGGCTGCCATGTCCTACGACCGCTATGTGGCCATCTGCAAACCCCTGCATTACACCACCGTCATGAGCAGCAAAGTCTGCACTACGCTTGTTCTCTGCTGTTGGTTTGCTGGCCTGTTGATTATCCTCCCCCCTGTCGGCATAGGCCTTCAGGTGGAGTTCTGTGACTCGAACGTGATTGATCATTTTGGCTGTGATGCCTCTAACCTTCTGCAGATAACCTGCTCAGACACGACGTTCATAGAGAAAATTGTCTTGAGTTTTGCCATCCTTACGCTCATTATTACTCTGGTCTGTGTTGTTCTCTCCTACACGTATATCATCAAGACCATTCTAAAATTCCCTTCCACCCAACAAAGGAAAAAGGCCTTTTCCACCTGCTCCTCCCACATGATTGTGGTTTCCATCACCCACGGGAGCTGCATCTTCATCTACATCAAACCTTCAGCAAAGGAAGGAGTAGCCATTAATAAAGTGGTGTCGGTGCTCACTACTTTGGTTGCTCCTTTGCTTAACCCGTTCATTTACGCACTTCGGAACAAACAAGTGAAAGAAGCTTTCAAAAACACAGTGAAACAGATTGTATTTCTCACAAGGAAGTGAGAGCCTATTGATGTTTTCAAGCTGACTTAAAGTAAATCTAAATCTGAATAACCATGAGAACATTCACGAATTTGACCCACATACGGTTTCTTCCTATTTTGCAGATTCATCAAACTAATCTTCTCCCAGATATATGTTTGTCTTATAATCCAAAAATCAAAATCAAACAATTTATGTCATCTTTTTTAAAGTTTAATTTTATTCAGCATGTTTTCTTCAATTATGCATGTCCCAGAGATTAGATCTCCACAATACCCAATATCATAGAAAGGAAATGCAAATGAAGCACAGCCATGTCTCTGGTCATACGACTTTCTCATGTCGTGGAATCTACAAGTCCATAGACCCCTTTTCACTTTGTGGAAGCACTTCAGTATCCAACCCCAATTGCTCAAGAGTAATTAAAGATCCTTTAGTGAAGCTTTAAAATGTTGTAAGCCAAAATGATACCTTCCAGAGCTCTTTCTAATTTTACCGTGTCCATCTTCCAGGAATATGTAAAAGATGTTAATGGGACAACTTCAAAATTAGGGAAGATAATATTCTTCCTTTCAATACCCACAAAAGGAATAATATCCACAAAAATATTTCCACCAGCCTTGCTGGAAATTATTTGGGAATACTTCTTCCAATACTACATGACTACCAAAGAGAAAATATGGTTTCCAAGTGTTAAATGTCTTCTACAGGCATTACCACTGAAGATGTTTGCATATAGATTCTCAGAGAAAAAGTCCTGAATTCAGAAGCAGGGCAGCTAAATCTTGGTTGGGTACACTCTCCAACTATTGACTTATTTCATCTCTCTCTTAAACAAGAATGTTAAAGCTTACCATGGTTGATGAATATACATTAAAGTTCATAATTTGGGAAAGACATTGTAAGGCATATTTTGTGACCTGGCATAGGCTGACTGCTAAAGAATGTAAGATCCAGGTATCGCATCAATACATACAGGAGCTGATCAAAATATATGATATGTTTACATTTTTAAAAATTTATGATAGTAAAAGACACATTACCATTAATTCCCTTCAAAATACTCCTCGTTCCTAACATACTATCCCATCATTCTTGCCACTTTGTGAAACTGTCTTAGAAGTCATCTTTCAAGACTTTTTATGAAGTATGATAAAAAAAAAATACAGTCAATGTTCCTGCCAAATGCCACTCAGTGGAGAAGCAGACTCATAAAACATTATACTGTGTCTTCATCCACTTTATTCACAATATCTAGTACTGTTATAGGCAGCTGAGTTAGATAGAAATATTATAGGTAGTCAGACAGGGCCAGACTCTCAAAGGAGCCAACATGGAAGACAAGATAAAATACCTGTGTGCCAGACCTCAAGACAAAAGGATTAAACAAATGCACCCACATACCTCCCTAGGTGTGAGCATCAGGGATTGATATTCTAAATAGGTAGCAACCACTTCAAAAAGCCAGAAGGAGTCACTAGTCCAACCCCCTACAGGAAAAGCCGCTGCTCTGTATTCATGCCCACTTGCTATATGACTCGCTTCCCCATTTGATCCCAGTTGATTCAATTTTACCTGAACAATTATACTTGTAATCTTATTGGCTGACCATAATTTTGTCCCACCTCATGCCCACCTTGTAATTTCCCATTTTCCCCCTATCTTAGACCCACTTCACGTTGGGGTTTTACTCTATAAAGTCCCTAAAAAATGGCAAGGTCCCTAGGCAATCCACTCTGGCCCCCTTCTGTCCCTCTCTTGGACAGAAGCTTTCTTTCCCTCAATAAATATATTCTGCTCTTCACCTCCATTGTTCCTAAAATTCGTTCTTCAATTTTAGAGAACACAAACTCGTCCTAGATATCGTTCGGGTTGGGAGTTTTATGTTCCTGTATCAGTACCATGTGACTTCTAACTCTTCCCCCAAATCAAACTGACCATGAAAGGTAAACATTTTCATTTAACTCAGGACATCAAGGCAGCACAAAAACACAACCAAAGGCACTCCTACATGGGCCCAGAGAAGAGAAGGAAAAGCAAGCAATAGTCATGCAGCTAACTTGGACCAAATAATTGGAATATTTCATATTAAGTGAGATTTTTTTATTTTTTATTGTTTGCCTGATTTGTGCTTGTGAAAATGAAGTTTTGTACTCCCAATGAATATACAACTATTATCATAATTCATCAAGCATCATATTAAATTTTGACCATAATGTTAATTGTTCATATAAAGTTCTCTAATACTTCAAAAATATTTGGAAACAATGACTATTTCTCAATGTCTTTCTTCTTTTCACTTTTAAATTTCTAAGACACACACTTTCCAATTTCTAAAACACACACACACAAAAAAAAAAACTCGCAACTAAATGTCCTTTAGCTTCTCTTTTGTTAACTTAAGCATACAGGTTATGATGTATGTATTAACTCACTAGTTAGATTAATAACTTCATGTGAATTGTGAGTTGTTAACAAGCAGTTTATGCTTATTGAGCTTATTGTTTTCTTTGAATGATTGTTATGGTTTGTCCCCCCAAAGCCTCATGTTATAGATGTCACTGCAAAGCTCATACAGCCATAGGGTGGGCTTCTAGGGTTTGTGACTGAGACCATTGCTGGGATTATGGGTGTGAGCACTGCACCTACCCTGGGGCAGGCAGCCTGCGTACAATACAAGGGAGGGAAAGAGCCTTGCTCTCTCCTCTCCCTTTTTGCTCTTGTTGATTTGCTGTCTTCCACCACCATGAACTATTGCTCCTCTGCCGTGTACCATTCTGCCAGCTTATTTTGGACTGAAACCTCCACAAAGTGTGAGCTAACTAAGCCTTTCCTTCCTTAATTCTGGGCATTGCGTATTTTGTCCCAGAAAGGAGACAAAGATAACTAAGACAATGATGATGGTCAAAGTTAAGAATATTCTACAGATTTTTTAAAAATCTTACCCAACTTACTTTTCACGAATCAAGTGCATCTGGGTGTGACCAATATTTGAAATGAAGCATGTTCAGAAAGGTTAATCATCTGCTCTGTTCTGGGTAGTGAAGCATTCTCCTCATCTTCACCTATTGACTGAGAAGAAATCCAAATGGGCACTACTGAGTCATGATAGCCACAGAGCAGAACAGGAAACAGTGTATCCGATAAACAATGTCACTGATGGACCAAATTTGGCTCCTAAAAATGACCCAAATACTATTAAAATTGATCATGGCTTTTAACTTCACAAAGTTTGGTGAGTGAACATATTCAGAACTTTGTGGAGTTTAATTTTTATATATAGGTTAAAGGAATTTGCTGTGGAAGTGGTAAACTTTTTCCCCATAAGTACAAAACATGTGTATGTGTGACACTCTGCTCTCAGTTCTGCCTGCTGGATTCCTTATTTCAGTCCCTCAGCATTGCCAGTTTTGGCTAAAAAAGTTCATGCTTGTGACTCATAATCCTGCTATTGATATCAGAATCTTAAAATTTTAAGCTCTCAACTAGAATTATGTTCACAGCTGACTGAAGATACATTACATCTGCTAGATGCAGTGGTACACACCTGCAATGCCAGCGACTCAAGGGATGAGGCAGGAAGATGGCAAATTTGAATCTAGCCTGGGCAACGTGATGAAACCTTAACTCAAAAGAATAAACAAAAATTCTGGATGTAGCTCAGTGGTAAAGTGCTCACTTACTGAGAGTAAGGCCGTAGGCTCAGTCCACCCTACACACATAAAAGATATATTTTTAAAATGTTTTATTACTATGTATTTGCAGTATATAAGGATTACATTCCTCATGTGGAGTTGTATGTATACATAACACAACTTTATTATTTTGTCAGCTCTTCCCCTTCCTCCCCTTTTCTTCTATCTCTTGGTCCCCTTCCCTTTTGCAAAAGATCTCTATCACTATTTCTTATTATCTATCTTTTATAGATAGTAAATAGATGATAGATGTAGGAGAGGGAAAAAGAAGATGGAAAGGGGTTGTAAAAAGAATTAAGCTGTGTCATGTATGTGTACCAACTACCCACAGTGAATGTATTTATTATGTACCACAAACATATACTAATGCAAAAATAAAGTCTGAGAATCTCTCCACCAAAAGGAATTTAAAGTTACATAATAACTCAGTTTAATGTGGTATCCTACATGGGATTCTGGAATAGAAAAAAGTTTTAGGTAAAAGCTTTAAAAGTTTGATTAAACTATGGGTTTTTATTTTATAATCATGTGCCAATATTGGTTCACTAACACATCACGCTACTGTAAGGTTTTAATAATAAGGAAAATTGTACATGGGGTATTGGACATCTTCTGTATTATCTTCTCAGTTTGCTGTAATATAAAATGTTATTTTTATTTGAAAAAAAAATCTACCAAAAGTAAATGCAATCATCATTTTTATTGTTCTCTATGCTGTTTTGTTTATGTATTTGTTTTTGTTATTTTGAGTTTTTCTAAATGAAAAACAAAATTTATATGGATATACAAGGATAGCTGGAATATGTGTACTGCTGATGCCTGTGGTTTATTGAAAGGAACAGTCAATGTTTAAAATTATCTTTTTTCTTGACCAATTTTGTACTCTTGAATCTGGTAATCGGAATGACTGATCTGAAAACAACAATATGCAGTCTAAGAACCATTGTTGAACTCCTACCATCTTGTATGGTGAAGCCCTGCATCATTTCCAATGTTTTTTATTATTATTATTACTTGTTACCCTTTGATTGTTTGATCCATCCTACATTCTTATGTCTGGTGGACTGAGCAACTTTGTGAAAGATAACAGTAGGTAATGCAGCAACCATGTTTAATTCCCATCATTTTGTTTTGAGGTCATGTATCATTTTTATTGTTTTTGGGTTATTTTGATTTTGTCTTCATTATTGCTTTGTTAGTTTTTTAATTTTAAAATAAAAAAATAAATCCAATCTTCAAGTTAAATTACAACTACTTTCTATATGACAAGAAACATCTGTAATAAACTAAATGAGAGTTTTGAAAGAAAATTTAAAGATCTCTGTT